CACACACACACACACACACACACACACACACACAGATTGGGAAGGATTCAAAGTCTTCGGGTGAGCGGTGTAACACGGCCTTAGCAGACCGCTGGGACTCCTGGACGGGCAGTCTCCAGCAGGGTAGACACCAGGGAAATCATCTGCATAGAGGACAAGGCATCTAGGCTCCAGACTCAGCCTTCTGGGAGATGCCCAAGGCGCTTTCAACTCCACCCTGGCTCAGGGTTTGGAGTGCAGCAGCGTGGGTCAGTGGGGACCTGGTGAGGGTGTTCTCTCTGCCCCAAGCTACATGGTGTGCGGGGAGGTCTGGGACCCCGAAGTTTGGCCCACCCAGATTGCTTTAGGCAGGGAGGCAAGAGTTCTGGCTCTGCCTAGCATCTTACTGTGTTCCTTTCCCTCTCAGAGCCTCAGTTTCTCCATTTTTAGAAGCAGATCAGATTGATAATCTGGAGTTCTGTAATTACCCGCCCGCCCTGGTTCCCGTCTTGCCTCACACGGATTTAGCGCTTGGCTCAGGGGAGGACTCCAGTCTATCTGGGCCCACAGACCAAGGACCAGGAACCAGGGGACTGGGTGAGGGAGGGTGGGCTGTACCCACCAGTCACATGCCCTACCCCACCTCCCCTGGGGAACCCTGCAGTGCTCCCCAAATAGTGCCTTCAGAAGGTATGGTGTTCAGAGCATTTTCAAATACATACTTCCTCCTCCAATTGTGCTAGTTGAGGTCGGGCAAGAACTCTCACCCCATTTGACAAGGCAGAGAGCTTAAGCACATAAAGGTTGAAAGTTGTATTAAAGGAGTGCTTAAGAGAGCCTCTCGGCGGAATCCGGCCCACCTGGGCTGAAAGCCCGAACTGTCATCCCACCCCACAACCCCTTTGTGAACCTTCTCATCCTCAGTTTCCTTCTCTGTCAATTGGAGGGTGGGGTCATACCACCCAGAGGGCTGGTTTAAAATTCAGGGAAATTATATAGGTGAAGCTCTTAGCACAGCGTCAGTAAATCTGGATAAATGGTGACTCTGTTTCTAGGAATATTAATTTCCCAGGGGAAGAAATGGAGTTACAGGTCCACACGACTACATAGCCCTGGATAGGGACAGAGTCCAGACGACTGGTCTCCCGGAGCAGTGCTCTGTTCCGATCTGACTGCGCCTGTTTTTGATGGCATTGAGCCCTCCTCCCCACTGACCCTAAAAAATCCGACTGTCATAAGACTGGAGATGGGGGCGACCAAGCATCACCAGGTGTGAGGATGACGTTGCCAGAGACTCGAATTCCAGTTTCAGCTCCAACCCACACCCATTTCATTCGTTGTGGGGATTTTTTTTTGGGGGGGGGCGGCGGGGGAGGAGTCCCTGCCTCTTCCAGGACTCAGCTCCCCCAGCTGTAGAGTGGACCGATTTTACTCAAGCTTCGGACCTCCAGAGTGACTGCGGCTTCGGCTTCGGGGCCCCTCTCCCGCCCTTGCGCCCGACTCTTTTCCTCACTCCCACCCCCGGACTGGCAGGCCTCGGAAAGCCCGCGCCGCGGCGCCTACCGCAAACCTTCTCCCGCCGCGTCCCGTGACCTTGACGCCACCGGCAATCCCCGCACCGGACCCCTTATCTAAATAGGGCCGTAAATCAAGGACCTGTCAGGGAGCGGGTAATTACAGGAACTCCATAAAAAGGACCCGGCCGGCCGCCTGTTTATATTAGCACGGTGTAAAATATTCTCGCTGTCTTGGGGAATCGCGTCGCGCAGTAACGCGCCATAAATCAGCCCGCGGGCCATTTACCCCGCAGCTTGAGCGCGCAAATCCCTTAAACATTTCTCTGCCGCACCTAAAGAGTGTCTAGGACTTTCCCATCTGACCCAACCTGCTCCGTGGGGCCGGGGTACAGTCAATGGCAGGGAAGACGTAGAAAGGCTCAATTTCTCCTCTTAGAAGCTCGTAGGTGAGGCCTCGTTGCCTTGGCCGGTTGTGGGCAAGGAGCAAGTCTCCTTGAGAGATCCTGTTGGGACCAACAGGGACCAGAGAGGGGAAGGGGCTTTCCTAAGGGCACACAGCGGATGAGCGACAGTGACAGGCTAGAGCGCAGGCCTGTAGGGGAGACTTGGGATGAGGGGTGATCTGACCAGAGAAGGTCCGAGCCACAAACAAGCTGACGTTCTCTACCCTTTAGCTTCCGGGGTTCCTGCACTTCCCGTGGTTGTGCACAGAGTTATGT